AGTTGACACGAGCAGCCCTACCAGCATTTGCCATGGTGGCCTAAACATTTTAATTTGGTCTTAAATTGTAGTTCAACATTTATTTCCTGTTACTTCTGGACCATGACGGTGGGCCAGCCTTCAACGTGTAACTGAGTGGAATATGTTGAATATGTTTTACCAAAATGTTGGCTATATGTTAAGGAGTTTTCAGTAGGTTGTGACAGTGCACTGCAACATGTTTGATTTAATTTATTTTGGTCTAATTTATTTGTATTTATCATATTAATATATGTTTGGTATGGTTTTGGAAGTGCGCTCCAACATATTTTGTTGATCTTGTTTATTGGTAAAATATTATTTGTTTTAAAGTTCAATAAATGGTCAATGAATAATCGTGATATCAATTATTGACCCAAATAATCGTGATTATGATTTTTGCCATAATCGCACAGCCCTAGTATGTACCTAATAAGACTCTTTTCCAAGGAGGCGTTTTAAGTTGCTAAAGCAGGAAAAACACAGGTGAAATGAATCGCATTAATAAAGGCTGCATTCCATTTAGGTTAGCCAGTTTCAGGTTTCTGGTATTGTGCATGCTGATTCACGGACATGGCTTGCTACTGCACTTAATAGAATGGCGCCATTATTATGTGATTAATGTCAACAGACTTGTATTGATATAGAGCCTTTCAAATCCACCGCATGCCCTCAGGGCTTCATTTCTAAACACTGATGGCAGAGCTGCCATATAACATGCCATATTGCTCATCAGAGATGCCATTCTCACACTCTCACACAATCTCAAAACCTTTCCCAAGTGCACTTGAACATACGAACTGGAGGAGCCTGGAAATGAACCGCCAATCTTACAATAAGTGGACGACCCAGGAATAGGACACATACATTCCAATATTTCCACTTATTAGTTCAGGGAAAACTTTGACCATGGGTAAAGGTAATCCTTCAAATAGTTGCTGCTGTGATGCAAGAACAATTTCAGACTATATTTGACAATAAAGTATTACCATATCATAGTTGTGATAACATATCTGGACAAACAGAACAACATTTCCATCCCTAGATCCTCAATACTTGTTTGAATAAAAATAGTATTAAGTGTATAAAAGCAGAACAAGAAATAGAATATTTTAGTATTACTGTATGTCTACTTTTGTTATAAAACATGTAGATTACACTAGGAATGAGATTACATTGCTATGATCTCTATGGGGAAATTCAGCACCAGAGATGTTGACTGGAATTCAAGGTCTTACTCAAGGATCAATCCGCATGGTTGGTGTTGACATGGCATGCTTACTGTAAATATAGGTCATTTAGTTTTAAGGTCACTTTTTCTCTCTTGTTTTTTGGTTTTAGTATGCTTTGGTATAAATATGTTTGGGTGTTTCTTCTGTTTATTGCTTCCTTATCTGGTAGAGTGGAAACTGGCAATCGCTGTGTATGTTCCATTGTTTGGTCAATAACTAGCTGTTAAATATCTATAACCACCGGAGCATCATGCTGCTCACAAATGATTTACTGGGAGGCCCCAATTAAAAAGTAACATGCATAAATGTGTCCATGTTAGTTTGTTGGGCAGCATGGGATTTATCTGTTATATGTTTATTTATACAGCCCAATATCACAAATATTACATTTGTCTCAGTGGTCTTCACAGTTTGTACAGAATATCAGTATGACAATATGACACCCTCTGTCCTTAGACCCTCACATCGTACAAGGAAAAACTTCCAGAGAAAAACCCCACAGTTTAAAGGGGAAAATGGGAGAAACCTCAGGGAGAGGAAAAAATAAATGCAGGCCATTGCGTGCGTGCGTGTGTGTGTGGCGTGTGTGTGTGTGTGTGTGTGTGTGGCATGCGTGTGTGTGTGGTGGGAGGGGGAGGGATTTGTTTGCCCCTCTCTTTTGCTGAAAACAAGTATTTGTTTGATGTTCATGATTCAAAGTTAAAAACACAAAATACCCAATAGTTTCATCAATGTTTGGCATCTCACTTGGAGATAGAGGGTAATATTTAACATGAACAAGACAATGATCCGCTAAGTTTGTCATCATCCATGTTACTAATGCTCAACCTAAATGTTATCAGATAAGAAGAAACATGTCCTATTCCTTTGTGAGCTAACACACTTGAGGCAATTTCATCAATACTTGTTTTGTTTGTATAAACATTGCAACAAAAAAATAATTACATATCACATACAAGAATTGACAAAAGAAAAACCTGTTTTTTTATTGACTGACTAATGTCAGTTGGCACTGAATGACGTGATTCTATTATAACATTTCGAAACTTGGAATAAAGCTCAGGAAAGCATTTGCATCCTCCTGAAAATGACGATGATCTTGTATATTTTATCTTTAATTTGAATTCAGAGCTGGGCTGAAGAGAGAACAAGAGCTTTCTGCCATGTTATTTCTTCATTTAAACTATGTTGCTGTTCACACAGCAATTGAAAGGATATTCTTAGTTCTACAGTTTAAGTGAGCTCACATGTTTATTAGTCATGGGATTATGTGGGTGGCACATGGGGAAGCCAATCAGATTTAAGGAGTGGCTGACAGTTATTACTGACCACAATGCTGCATCAAGGAAGAATGTATCCCCCACTACCAATGATCAAGGCAAAGGATGGACGCTGCTATATTATAAATCATGCTAGTGTCATATAACGCATCAGTAGAATATAGAATGCACTCTTGAGTGTTTAATAACTTAAAAACTATTTCATACCGTCCAGCAGCCAGCTTTGGCCAATCAGCTGTTCCAGTCTGGGCAGCATCAGTCTGGTCATCACATGGTCAGGCACCATCATGCTTCTTTCTACATAGCTCCTCACCAGCACACCTGCCTCTGATACACAACACACAGGTAAAGATGCTTCCAGCTGCTGAATTTCAAGAACAAGCCAGGACAGGGCCTGTTGAATATACCCACACCATGATAAAAATAAACACTTGGTAAGGCACATATCTGGTTAAAACTCTCACTGCAAACTCCAGACTGTAACTTTGTGCATCTGTGGATTATTTAAACAAACACACATTTTGAACTAATATTTTATAAATCCTAACACTATTAAAAGCAAAAAGGCTTTGGTAATGACACAGCAAGTCACAACTTTAAGGAAACGTTTCAGTGATGGCAACAAAGCAGCACACAAGTTTTGAAGCAAACCCTCTGCAGTGCTGGATTCTAATTTAGTAATCAGTGAACATGGGCTTTGCACATGCTTGGAATTGAATTGTCCCAGTTGGGAGGCTATAATAAGGACGTTTAAAGAGACAAAACCAATGGTTTAAAGTGCATGGTTGTGTGAGTTATTGTGATAAAACATCGATGAGTGTTTAACTGGATTCAATACTGAGTCATTGTGGGTGTTGGGCATTTCACCAAGTTAGGTATCTGAACTCAATACAAATCAGATAAAGATTTAAGTGTGTATTCATCCAAATGCACCGTGTTTTAGCTTGGATTGTAAAGGTAATTTGTCAAATGAGCTTCGAGAAAACAACTGTGGAAACTGCGCACGTTAGGATAAAGATTCACATGCAGCATAAAAACACAGACTTCCCTTGTTCCTGTTAACACACCAGTATGGGGGCAGCAGTTCACTTGCAGAAGCATCATACCTGTATTTGCCGCTATGCTTTCTCGGAGATAGTGGCCACTGGAAAGATATTGCAGGTCAAAGCTTTGAGCAATCCTCTTGCATATCGTTCCTTTCCCTGATCCTGGAGGACCCATGATAGCAGCTCGGAATAACTTGGCCATGTCTTTGTAAAACCTCTGGGATGCTCAAATGTTAGGTTGTCCTTTGCGTGTAAAAAGAAGGAAGTAAACCTCCTAATTAAAAAAAGATGAGCGCATGAGCAATCAAACTGGTCAAAAGCCTGGCGTGCTTCTAAACTTGTCTTGCCAACAAACTTCACCGTGTCTCTTTACCCTGCGGTTATTTGTTGTTAAACACTAAATGCGCACATTGGATCTATCCTGCTCGGATCAAGTCAAAACGCCCTTTTCCTTTTTTCTTGCAGGTCGTTTAAGGATACATTACACCCGCCTACGTCTTCATGGAGAGAGACTTTTGTCTGCGAATGAATGGGGGAGTCTCCCATACGCCCTATTTTTCTGCGCACATCATCCAGTAAAAATGCGGATGACTGATTCGCAGGAACTGCCGGGTAAACTGGTTACTGTAGTTTTTAAAGAATTTCCAAGTAATGTACATCAACAACAACGACAACCGCGAAAATCTAATAATCCTTGACATATGTTACAAGGAACTTGACGTGCAGAGAATGCTGTCTAAAATTATAAGATACGACGAGGGCGAGAAGATGTTTTTTAGGCTACTCATAATTAGAAAGAAATGTATGTTTTCTACAACATAACAGCAAAAACACACACAATAAAATAAATAAAAATAAAAACTGCATTGCCAATTCATTTAACTGCAACATATAGCCTAACCAGTTTATCAGAAAGGGAGTGCATTTATGTGCAGAAGGTTGAGACCAATATTATGTCTAGCCTTTTTGTTTGGGAAGCCTTATTTCAAGTTATTTTGATCTGCTAAACTACCTTGCCACTTATTTATTACAAGCCAGAAAAAAGTGCACGACAGTCAATGACACACATCCCTAACATTATTTATTTCACCATGTAAATAAATACTCAATATATTATGTCCCGTGATGTCCCACCACACAATATATGCTTTATCCAACGGTTTCAAATATTCAAAGAACACTTGATGTTTGGAGATTCAGATCTGCAATAAATAAATTACAACAGTGACTTATATCTAATAAAGTGGGTTATTCTTGGATTTCACCACTTGTTGACAGTATTTCTCTAAAATCAGAGCCTAATTTGTTCATTATTAAGGTTCATGGGGTTCTTATTTGTCAAAGTTTCCAATGCTGGCAGCGGTTGCAGAAAAGCACATGAGTCGCTGTCATTCCGCGCAACATTTGCGGACGGGTGGATACTTGTTGCGAGCCATATCGGAGCTGTCAGATGTTGCGCACAGCCTGCAGTCTACTGTCAGACTACCCAGACGAACCCAGCAGACAAACAGCTCGGAAGATTAACCTATTTGAGCCTCGAGATTAGAGAAACTAGTTTTCGTCTTCAGACCCGGACGCCTGCTTTTAATTACAAGATATTTTCTTTTTGTCACATGGCTTTGGATAATTCAAAACAACAAAAAATGGCGACACTCACGTTGCACTGTGTGGTCTTGCTGCGTCATAAAACATATTCATGTAAACACGAGGAGTTAAACGGGAAAATGTCAGGTAAGTGAGTCAAATTGATGTTATATACTTAATGTGTACTGGATGTAATTTTTTGTTGTTGATTTTATTGGAATTTTACAGCATGCAGTTTGTTTTTGGCCAGAAAGGGGTGTGTATGCTATGCTGGGCGTTAACGTTTGGCTGCACAACATTCAATACGAACATTGCACTTATATTTCGCATTGGCTCGCGTTATAATGAATCCTAGTTAAAGCAGGTAGGCTTGTTTATATGATATGACATTAATAACCGTTTTGTTTGGATTTCGACAACTTTTGTTTATTGGTACAAAACAGCAACAAAGCGCTTAATTCAGTCCTCGCTCTTGTCGTCAAACAGTAGTTGTCTACCATAGCCTTTTGTCAGAATCACTGCCTGTTACCTTTACGGTTAGCAGTTTACAAGCCATTCCTCCGTTATTTACATTGGGTTTATGCAATATGGACGCGCTGTCTTCACAGGGTCTCTTGTTACAGGCAAACGGAGCATTCCTCCCTACCAATATGTTTGTCATCTGCCATATTTAGTTACTTGCAAATGTTGTTGTGCCTTTTCTGACATGAACATGTTTTGGCCAGGGCCCTGAGCAGCGGGGATAATGGAGTTGTTTACATGAAGTGAGGAGGGCGGACTGGCGAGGAGGAGGAGACGCTACGTCGGCCAGAGACGCCACCGGACTGCACGAGAGGCTGCTCGTGCGGAGGGGGGCGGAGCCTGTGAGGGGAATCATAACAAGTCTGACGTCACTCGGCCTTGTGGTTGGTATGAATAATATACTGTAGTTTGTCTCGATCCAGTCTTAGCAGGAAAGAGGCTCAGAAAAAAAGTATTCGTACCCCTAGTTATTGTATGAGATGAAACATTAACGAGCCCTCTGTGTACCAAAAAAAAGAATGAAAATATGTTCACTTGGAAATAGTTTGCGAAATAATTTAACACGATAGCATGCTTAATACTGTAAAGCAATCTTTGTCCTCCAAATGTGCAAGTATTGTATATTTTGTTTAAATCACAGGTTCACAGCCAATAGGCCATAGGGTAGGCTACACATTGCATGTGTCTATTCATAACTGCCCAACCTTTGCAGTTAGAAGTTTCATCATAATGAACATCAGAGTCTGTTTTTGAAGTACCAAATGAATTGTTGTGCTAAAAGAACATTTACCACAATAGACCAAATACTTGTGTAAAATACAACCTCATGTATCAGGCCTGATTTAAGGGCAAAAAATAGCTTTTTCCATTCACTTGAATGACTCACTGATTAACCAATATCTCTGTTCATAAATAAAGGAATCCTGGATAATCAGGATCATTATTATCCTGCATAAAGACTGTTTTTTAATGTTCCCATTATCAAACTATGGAGAGTAGTTGTTGTATGTTTTTTACTCTACTTTGAAAAACATTTTTATAGTGGTATTATTATATCCCCAAACATGATATTGCATTTTTTTTTAATATTCTGTGCTGCTGATCACTGATGGGAAGGATATTAATAAAAACGTTTTTACACACATAGAAGGATTGTTAGGTTAGATGTCCCTGTGACTCTGTAGACTAATCTGTTCTTATATTAGCTATTGTATATTAACTGAACAGCATTTATATTGTAAGAATTACATGATGAAGATACAACATGCGAGGAAACCAAGGACTGCTAGAATAGTCAGGCTTCCCTGGTTCAGTTATCACAGTGCTGATGCTGTCCCCATCAAAGGTACAGTACTGTGATAACTGAAGGATGGCTGCCAACTTGACACGAGTGCAGTTATTCAAACCGCGTGCAGCTAACCAGCCAGAGGACCAATGACCAATGAAGTGTGAGTATGTTAATAAAGAGACATATTTGTTTTCATTGTTAAGTATCCAAAAGTACTAATGTGATTTATTCAAATTATGTTTTTCCTTATTAAATCTGCCAGTAGACTGTTGCATGCTTAAAAAAGTATTTTATTGTCTTATTTTTAAGTTTAAGAAGCATTATACTCAAAACCTATAAATGTATATTATCTTCACTTTTTATGTAACTTTTGCTCAACTCAAATAAATAAATAAATGTTTGTTTTCATTAAACCTGTATTTGTTTTATTCATTTCTGCTATTGAATATCCAGTGAATCCTAAACAAACCAAAGAACAGTAAACTATTGAGTGGATGTTGGCTCATTCTGATCAGTTTTAACATTACATTAGATACTTTCTGACATCTCTATAGCATTACCAGCAAAGTTAATTTAGCATTAGTATATATCAGTGACGTGCGGTGAGGTTCATGGCTGGTGAGGCACTGACTTTTTCAGAGTCAGATTTACAAATATTATATTCTGACCTTAATCGAAATATTCGGTTATTTTCAAAAGCTTTTTTGGTCTGATGCTTCAATTCATTTTAAACAGACCGTTCAACAAAAGGATACCCACAATCTAAATATTGGATTGTTCTTTCTTAGTAAGATCCCATTTTCATTACCAATGTGGTCTTACCTTGACTTGAATATGAAGTCCATGCTATCCTTCTGGACAACAATCTCTATTACTTTTTTGTAAAAGTCCTCCTTATCTTCCTCTAGTTTAAAAAGTCTAGTTTGTTGTTTGCATCTACGGTCTACCGTCTCTGCGTAGAATAACAGTAGCAACAAGGACCTGTGGGCTCACGTGCGCCCCCTTCACTGCGGCAGAGGTTATGGCTGCCTCCCCTGGTGCTTTTTTCATTGCCGTTGTACGGCGAGCCTAAATATCATATATACGTGAAATAAGTTATTTAGAGACTATGGATGGCGAGGATAAATGTAATAAAGGGATCTACAAACATTACATTGGTGACTACAGTGAGATGGTGCAGGCATGCGCTTAGGGCCCGCTTTCCAGCCAGTTTTCTGTGGGGTGACGCATTCTGAGTGAGGCAAAGCTCATCTGTGCCTCACCTCACCACACAGTAACTGGCTTGAGCGTGCTCACAAAATAAGTGCCCGCGCTAAATTAGTGCCCGCGCTCCAGCCAGTTACTGTGGGCTTACGAGAGGCAGAGCTCGTCCCTGCCTCACTTCTTTCTCATCGCTACCCGTAGTTGTAGCGGAGCTCGACAAATTAGCTGATTTTAACTATAAAAAGCGATTGGAATCAAACATAAATCACATTTACAACACATATCAGTGGAGACATTGTATTATTATTACTATTTAGGTTTTCTTTAGTTGTTTTTCCGTTACATTGTAGTATGGCCAGTCTATGAGTATGACAGGTGAGGCTCTGCCTCCCCTGACTGCACGTCGCTGGTATATATACTGTATGAGCTTCCGTCTCTGGGAGCACTGGTCTGCAGGCTGAAGCAGAAGGTAGTCGCAAAATGTTGCTCTACATTGTTGTCAACAGAGGGAGCTAAAGATCTATTAGTCATGTGCTTTGTGGTCTGAATAACATGTCTGCAACTGTTATTTTTTTCTGAAACTTATGTCATCTGACAACTTCAAAAAGTTTTAGTGAATCCAGTCTCATAAAAAAAACAGCTTTTATTAATTGTTTCATTACTAAGTGAATATATTTCCCCCCTAAGAACAGTTGAACATGATCGAAACAACAATGTATGACTCACATTAATGACCGCTGCTGTCTCCATTTTGTCATCTCCATTTTGTTATAGCATTGTTTAAGAGAATCTTATGTTCAATATGTGATATCAGTATAGCACGGATCAAAACACAATTGTTCTGTGATATATGATGTCAACATGCTGAAATGAAACGTGTTTTTGATGTTTTGAATAATAAGTGCACTGTTTGAGTCATGTCTGATAAACCAAAGGTCACTGCACCTGTCCTTACAATGTTTTCTGTAACGGTATAGCTACTGTGGAAATCCCCAAAGAGTCATGACAAATGTATTGTTTTTGTCCCACTCTAACCTCAATCTGCTTTACTCGACTTGAGGCGCATGTTTTTTTCTGACTCACCCTGTGCTATCTTGATCATTTGTGGCAATTCATAACTTGTGTTAATAAAGCATTAAACGTCAAGTGAAGCTAACATTGCTTAAAAGAAGTATAGCTATTTTCTAAGTGAGGTCAGGCATTCAAACCCACTACCTATCAGGGTAGTCAACAAAACACCAACTTTATTATGAGAATATCATCTTCTTTTAATGCAAGGGGATAACTGTATTGACTGGGATGCGGCATGGAAAGTCCCTACCTTAAAACGAACCACCCAGTCTTTTGTTAGAAAGAAACGTTGATATCCTTTTTTTCTTTTGTGACAGTAGGAAGGTTGTTTCCTTTCCTCCACAAGGGTCACAGTCCATGCCTTTACCTGCCCATAAAATACCCGTATAGACCTTACAGAAATGCTGTACTGATGTGGTTTTGTGCACAGGGGTCCACTAACAGTACTAAAGGCGAGGAACACAACCAAAGAACTGGGTTATTAAACTATTGTAATATGTTTTCATTTAGTAAGTTTTCCCTGAAACTGTCCCGATCCTCCCTGAGAATTTGCCCTGCAGGAAGGAAACTTCTGCTCCAAATGTTTGTATACTGCTTTTCAGAGTCATATATCACGGAACTAAATATTTAAATAAGACTTGTGAATTGATTGACTTTGTCTCTGTGAGCGATCTTTAGTCAGTCACATATTTTTAAACACCTCCTTGACCTGTATGTCCGATGTTGTTGGTTTCCTCTTTGTAGAAAAAGTCCCTTTACATAAGAAACACAAATGTTACATGGCATGCAAAATAATCAAACGTGCAGCAATGTTTTATCTGGACAGCAGTGGCTTCCTCCGTGGTGTCCTCCCATGAACTCCATTCTTGTTCAGTGTTTTACGTATCGTAGATTCGTCAACAGAGATGTTAGCGTGTGCCAGAGATTTCTTTAAGTCTCTAGCTGACACTCTAGGATTCTTCTTCACCTCATTGAGCATTCTGCGCTGTGCTCTTGCAGTCATCTTTACAGGACGGCCACTCCTAGGGAGAGTAGCAACAGTGCTGCACTTTCTCCATTTATAGACAATGTGTCTTACCGTGGACTGATGAACATCAAGGCTTTTAGAGATACTTTTGTAACCCTTTCCAGCTTTATGCAAGTCAACAATTCTTAATCGTAGGTCTTGTGAGAGCCCTTTTGTGCGAGGCATGGTTCACATCTGGCAATGCTTCTTAAGAATAGCAAATTCAAAACTGGTGTGTATTTTTTATAGGGCAGGGCAGCTTTAACCAACACCTCCAATCTCGTCTCATTGATTGGACTCCAGGTTGGCTGACTCCTGACTCCAATTAGCTCTTGAAGAAGTCTTTAGTCTAGGGGTTCACACTGTGAATGTTTACATGGTGTGTTCAATAAAAACATGAAAACATATAATTGTTTGTGTGGTATTAGTTTAAGCAGACTGTGTCTATTGTTGTGACTTAGATGAAGATCAGAACACATTTTATGACCAACTTATGCAGAAATCCAGGTAATTCCAAAGGGTTCACGTACTTTTTCTTGCAACTGTATTTTACAAGAGCATCATATATTTATAGCATCCCTGTTCAGTGAGAACCAATCAAGATGTTATGGAAAAACAGCTCTATTATGAGCTTTGTGACGATGCATATTTTCAGCTTTGTTACAAAGCATTTTTTGCCATTCCAGGAGGGTTTTGAAATAGTTTATTTAGCTTAAGAAGTATAGGATTTTCTCAACCTTTTAATGAGCTCTTAATTCTGCAGATTATCACACACATTCCATATCAACACATCTGGAAGTACATGGTTTTCACTGGACAGGAGGATAATGTAAAATAGTTATGTGAAAAGTAACTAGTGCACTAAAGCTGTCAGACAAATGTAGTGGGGCTAAACCCAAAAATATAAAGTTGCATAACATGGAAATACTCAAGTTAAATCACCTTCAAGTACAGTACTTGAATAAATATATTCAGTTACATAACTTACATTCTACAAGCTCATATAGATGTTTGAATTTTCTTTTCTTTTTCTGGGTTCTTTAAAGATTACTGGACTAAACATTTAGTGTGAACTATAACACAAACACTTGTTCTTTAAATGTGTTTTATTGTTTCCATATGAAAGGGTTTACAAGTTAAAACCATAGGTTCAGCATAGATAGACTGTATAGTAGATGAACAGTCTGATGACAATACACACGCCAGCCTGAATCCAGCAAAGGGTTAATGTCGTCATCTTGAGTGACGGGCTGAACAGCCAATCAGCAGCCGAATTCTACAGAAGGCCATAATGTTGCTTTCGGGAAAGGGCCGTTACTTGTCAGGAAGGGTTAGCAAGAACAGAGGCTGCTTTTTCTCGTCTCAAGCTACCAGCCATCAACACATTCCGTGGATTAAAGTCGACATTTCTTTCCCTTTGGATACTGAATATTATTATTGGGAAGTTTCGGAATAAAGAAGCCGAGGCACGATACTTATAAATCTATCTAGAGAGGAGCTACAACTTGGTGGGAGCGTCTAATGTACAGAACGAAACTGAAGCAACTTGCCAGCTGTCTGGCCAAGCTTCGAGGTGAGTAAATAACCTTTTACTAAATGTTCCCATCGAGAAAGACATCGGTGTTCTGGATAGTTTTACTTATCAGCTCGTTTATTATCTTTACCCGCTGTTGTCAAGTGGGGAACCATCTAGCTTTTGTTTGCTTTGCCCATTTAAGACTCATAACTTGCTAGCAAGCTAATGTTAGCCAACGATCGTCAGCTTGCCATGAAAGCCATGACACTGTGTGATGCCGTTTTATTGCGATGTAATGTAATTGGCTGGTTTCTTTGGAACATACAGTGAGTTACAGGAAGAAAGTACAATATGATGCAATGTAATGCCATCAGAAACGTGGGCCAAGTGAATGAATAAGTTTGACACTATTTTAACACGAGATTAAAGTACAGTCAAATACTAAAACACCATCAGAAGAGTTTCAAGGCTTTTCCTGCTATCAATGTGATTTGATATTGCCCACTCGTGGAGAAAGCTAAATGTCTTAATAAATGAGCCAGCCGTCTATAGTCTTTTATTGTGCTGCTTATCGAGTGTGAAAGAAAAAGTGAAAGCTATTGTTCGTCCTTATGTCTTGGATCAGGGGAAACATTTATAAATTGTATTCTGTGAACTGGAATGTACCCAGTGACGTTACAGGAAGAAGCTCATGATCATATGTGTCACTAAATAAAACCGCAAATATTTTGATA